CAGTTACAATAAATTAACTAAATATTTGTATGATGTTAACAAATATTTATGCGGCTATAAATATTTGTATGATGTTAACAAATATTTATGCGGCTATAGTTATTGCCCCTTTCTTCCCGACAGGAGAGCAAAGAACCAGAACGTGCCCAATTCAACACGCCCAATTCAACACGCCCAATTGACAATTGAGGGTCAAAATCCATAATTGTCCGAACCTGAACCTGAGGCTGAAATCTTGTACCACCATCTTACTCCAGCTGTCCAGAGTTATTATGGTCATGGACTCCGGTCCCGCTCTTTGTTTCACATTAATGGCTGTTTGGTTGGCCATTTTTTCTTTGAAAAAAATAGGTTTGTCTAATTAATATTTTTATAATATAAGTTAAAAATATAGTTATAAAATATAAATATATCAATTTTAACTTTTAAAATATATTATAAATTAAAAAAATAAGTAATTATACTAATATAATTAATAATGTCACTTTTTTTATTAAAAAAACTTCAAAAAAATTTTATTAAAAAAGTGACAATATAATCCACTATCTTTCTTTTACTTGACATTTTAACCAATTTTTTCTATATCAACAAGTTTATTAAAAAAAATTTTCTATATCAAATTCTTTGCCGTATGACATTGCTCAACTAAAGTATGGTTCACGAAACAGTAAATTCAAATTGTCTCTGTATCCAAAAAAAAAAAAACTTAATTGTCTAAAGACCGAAATTAGAGACGGAGATTCTGTAGATGCAAAGGATCCCATTCGACGCGTTAAACTTGTATAAAAGTTTGCTTGATGCAATTGTTTAAGCATCTCTGTACACTCATGAAAGAGATACTTTCATCTTAATTCTTTTGTTTTCCCCAACAAAGGAACTAAGATGGCTTACTGTCACATAACCCATGTACTGGCTTTCTTCCTCATTTCAAGTGCTCCCTCATTTTCCCACGCAGATGTAGGCCTGAAATTGCCACTAAAGGCTGTTAATTTGGGGAATTGGCTTGTTGCAGAAGGATGGATGATGAAACCTTCTCTTTTTGATGGAATACCTAACAAAGATCTTCTGGTATATATATGTGATAAGCTTCATTTTTATCAAACATTGAGATTGTGTGAGCTACCAAGCTCAATCATGTGCAAGTTTCTCGTTTACATTTGAATTTTTGTATCAACTTGGTATTTTTGTAATGGTAAAAAATCTTATACCCTTTTTTTTTTTATTTTTGGTAGGATGGAACACAAGTGCAATTCATGTCCACAAAATGGCAGAAGTATGTCTCTGCAGACGATGGAGGGGGAACTAATGTTGTAGCCAACCGTGCCTCGGCTTCTGGTTGGGAAACTTTCAGGGTTAGTTATCTCAGCTAATATAAAGATCAATTACTTGTGCTGTTGCAGTATCACCAAATTATGGTTATGTTCTGTTAACCTTCTTTGCTTCCCGATTATATGCAGTTATGGAGGGTCAGTGAATCATATTTCAATTTGAGAGTGTTCAAGAAGCAGTTTGTGGGACTTGGAGGCCAAGGTGCCAAGGTAGTGGCTGTTTCGACTACACCTGGAAACCAGGAAACGTTTCAGATTGTTAGGAATGATGGTGATCACAATCGCA